GCACTTGTAGGGCTTCTCGCCCGTGTGCGTGCGCTGGTGCTGCACCAGGTTGGAGCTCCAGCTGAAGCACTTGCCGCAGTCGGGGCACTTGTAGGGCTTCTCGCCCGTGTGCGTGCGCAGGTGCTGCACCAGGTGTGAGCTCTGGGTGAAGCTCTTGCCGCACTCCGAGCAGGTGTTGGGCCGCTCGCCTGTGTGGATGCGCTGATGTCGCAGCAGCTTGGACCACTGGCTGAAGCTCTTGCCACATTCGTTGCAGATGTAGGGCTTCTCGGCCCCTGCGGGGCGACCCTGCACCAGTTCCCGCAGGCTGGGCTCATTGGGAGGGACCACTGGGGGGCTGTTCCAGGTGGGGAGGGTCCCCCACTGCCAGCTGGCCTCACAGGCCTTGGTCCAGTCAGACGGCGCAGGGACCACCTCAGGGGCTTCAGGATCCAGAGGGGTCTGGCGGTCTGAGGGGTTGGAGGGACCCAGTGGGGGGTCCTGAGAGGCTGAGGAGTCCTGGGAGGGGCTCTCGGGGGGCGTCTCCTGTATGTCCTTGGACTCTGGACTCTGAGCTGGGTCTCCCAAGATGACCTCCTCCCCAGAACTCTCCTGCTGAGGGCTCTCTGGTTCGTCCTCACTCTCGGCACCTACAGACAGAAAGGGAGTCTCCAGCCCCATCTCCTTTCAGAACATGGGGCCTGTCCCCCACCCGTTTCCCCGGAGTCTGGGCCCCCCGAGCTGGGACCACTGTCTTGTGGGGACCAGAGTCCCTTCCTGTCCCCTCACCTCCGTGAGCATCGTCTGCGGTCTCTTCAGGACCCTGCAGGTCCGGACCCCACAGCGCCGTTTCAGGCTCCATCCCGGAGCACAGGACCAGGAAGGATCCAGGGGCCCTGGGAGGGAGAGGGGGCACACAATGGAAGCTGCTCTCTCTGCTCCCGAGCCTCCCCTCCTCCTGTTCCTGTTCACGTGAACTTCATGTCCTGCCTCCTTTCTCTGGGCGGAGCCTCACTGTGGCCCCTTCCTCCCTGCAGGCCTGATTCCTGCTCCAGATCTTAGAGCACAACTCAGTACGCAGGTGAACTCAAGAGAGCAATTAAAAACTCGTAGTCACAACCCTTTGAACTCCGCTGGGGGCTGAAGCAGCATCCGACACCCACAGAGAGAGATGTTCTCACCTTACACCTCTGATGCCCAGAGGCTGGGAAACCTGTTATTTTGCAAATCAGAGGAAGCTCATTAAACTCAAATTTTCCTTCTTAATGGGGCAGCTAATTGAGACCAATAAACTTTTACCCCTATGAGCCCTAGAGAGAACTGAGGCTGACAAAGAGTTAAAAGAAAAAAAAAAAACCCACTTTCCAAGAGGGGAGGAGAGCTCTTCAGAAGGACCAGGATTCTTTTCCATTATCTGAGAACAGAAAGCGGGTCAGCCTGGCAGGGTGGGGTGGGCTGAGGTGGGGGTCGTGGTTTAAGGGTGGGGGCTTCTGCAGGAGCCTGGGGGGGGGCAAAACCAAGGAAAATGGAAGACAGGTGTGAAGAAAACACCTGCAGGGATAGCGTGCCTGCCAGGTGTGCTCCTGTCTCTCATTCTGCCCTCCCGTAACCCGATGAGGACACACGGAAGTCAGGTTGTCCATTTTACAGATTAGTAAATTGGGGTGGCAGAGACTTCTCCAAGTCCCAGCCTGGGAAGTGGCAGAACTAAGCCCACAGATGCAGGCTGGCCCCTGTCAGCAAGAGCATGAGGTGACCTTGGGAGTCACGTGAGACTCATACTTGTGGGCTGCTGGCAGGAGGCCAGTGGTCAGGAAAGCTCAGGCAGATCCTGCTGGCCATGAGAATGGGCTGGAGAAATTCCTGGGACCGAGAGTTTCTTTGGCTATAAAAGGAGGCATTGGACCCTGTGCCTAGGCTTGGCGATCTGTGTCTGGGAGCTCCAGATGGCCTTGTGCTTCTAAGCCTTCCATTTCCAGTCCTGTCTGGGCCGTCTCTGCTCCTTTTGTTCATTTTGTTCATGCTGTACCATAGGCCTAGCACAGTGACTAGCATATAGAAGGTGCTCAGGAAACATTTTGTTGAATGGCTGAGAGTTGAATGAATGAATGATGCTCTTTGTTCCTGGGAAACTTTGGTTCAGTGCCTTTAAAGATTCGTTTGTGCAGGGATGGGAGCAAAGGAGCTGGGATTCAGAGTGACCCCCCGGGAGAAAACACAGCCAATTGTCAGTCTCACCATGGTGAGCTGATCCCAGAATGAGGGAACAGGGCCACAGGAGCCAAGGGCTTCCCACATTTCCACCCAAAAGGGAATCCCAGGGAGGGGCCTGGGGGCAGCAGGAACTTGGTGCAAAGGAGACATGGCGGGGACTCAGGGGAGGCAGCTGAGAGGTGACCAAGGTGGAGCAGAGCTAGCTGAAGCCTGCCAAAGAGCAGTAGGAGAGAGCGAAGTTAGAGTTCACGAAGTGAATGAATTTCTTCACCTCTGCAGCTGGTAGGTCTGAGAATTCCCCTGTATCTCTGGGGAGGCCTAAGCAGGGCCCCTGCCTGGCCCGGAAGGACGAAGGGTGCCAAGGGTGCCCTGCTGTGTTTGCTGTTGACAGGTAAGCTCTTCTGCACCCCGATTATCTGGGAAATGCAAACTCAGTGGTCCAGAATAGAAGGGAAAGGGTTAAAGCCAAGGCTGACACGGAATCGGCAAGACTAAGGAGGCACAGTCCTTGGGGCCAGCCTAGGCCCCAGAACACCGGCCTGGACCTCGAGACGCCGGCGGAGGGAGCGAAGGGGAGCGGGCCTCCCGGAGCCGGGTGGAGCGGCCAGGGTGACCCTGACGGGAGGCGGCGGGGGAGCACCCCCCACCCCCACTCCCACTCCCACTCCCGCGCCGGCGCCCTCGCCCGCCAGACCCCACTCACGCTCCGCGCCCGGCCCCGGCCCAGGGCCGAGCCCCGCGCCCGCAGCCCCGCCCGGCGCCCGGCCCTTCCCGGCAGCCCCCGCGCCCCTCCCGCGGACCCCGCTCCTCCCAGAATCCTCGGCCCGCGCCCCCCCCATTGTTCCCGCCGCGGCGCCCCGGGCCCTCCAGGCCACCCCCGGGGACCCGCACGCCCCGACTTACGGCTCTGGGGGCTGGAGAGCCAGCGGGCAGAGTCCAGCCCCGGGGGCTTCACCCCGCGAGTCCCCCGCCTCGGGGGGCGGGCCGGGTGCCCGGGACTCCGGGGTCCTTCTCCAGGGTGATTCCAGGCTGAGGACCCGGGGACCAGTTCAGGGTGACTGGGACGGAGCAGGAAGTGACCCCAGCTTCCCGGGCCCCTCTAGCCTGGAGTCGGAGCATCAGCTCTATGGGATTTAACCCTTCGCCTCCCACAGCCTGGGGAGGGACGGGGGCGGAGGGCCGGAGCCGGGAGGTGGCTGAGACGACGCCCCCTTCGCCCTGTCTCCAGCGAAGCTGGCAAGACGCGCATGCTGGGGACCCGGGGCCACCGGGGGTCTCGCATGTCTGGCTGTTTCCTATCTCAAAGGGGCTCCGTCAGCCTCACCAGCTCACCCCTCTCAGATTTGGCGGCTCCGGTCCCCTGGGGCCGGCCTTTGTTTGGATTCCCCGGGGATGGGGATGGGGTTCCCGGGGCTGAAGCTGGCAGGGCGGAGCCGAGGGGCAGCCTGCTGCAGACTAAAATGAAGTAAGTCCTGGGACAGGAATTGGGGCGGAGAGGGCGCAGGGCCATGGAGGATTTATGGCCACCTGCTCTTTGCACCTCTTCCGAAGTTAGCTGCTCTTAGGAGGAAACTGATCTCGGGGTGCAGGAGAGAAGCCAGTGAGTTGCCCTGGACAAGAAGGGGGAAGCCGGTCACCAGCGGCTCAAGGTGCACTCAGCTCACAGCTTAAGAAACCTTCAAAACCCCGAGGCTGGGCTGGCCCGGGTCCCAGTTAGGAGGCTCGATGTCATTTTCTCCTCACCGTGGCCCGGTGAGGTGGGGCTGCATATTAACCTCGTTTTACAGGCGAGGAAACCAACGTGTGAGTGGCCGGCAACGTGCTTACAGCCACACTCTGTTGAAGACAGGGGTGGGGAGACTGAATAAGAGAGCTGAATAAGAATCGAGAAGTGCGTGTGTGCGCTCGCGCGTGTGCGCCTGTGTGTGCATGTGTTACAGACACAGAGGAACCGCAGTGTCTGTCTAGGTTGTGGAAAACCAGAGAGTCAGAAATGGTGAAAGACGGCATTTCCTTTAGCTGGCACCTGGACCTGAGTCAGGGAAAGGGGTCTGCTGGGTGAGACCTGGCTCCGCTGCTTCCCAGCACTGTCCCCTTTGCTCCAGCTGGTCTTCGGCTCCCTGTGCCCTTGGGCCTCCTCTCCCACCTGCCATCTCTGCCTGCCCCGGGGTGCACACAAGGTCAGGGGCTTTGTCTCTGTCTAGTACCTGCAGGCTGCAGAAGCCCGACTGGCCCAGGGGTGGGGAGGCTACAGGCAAGCTGCACCCTGAAGGCTCACAGAAGAGTTTTATTTGCCTACACAGTTTTTGTTTGCTTGGTGTTCTAACTGAATTAACTGCCATACTTAAAATTCAGTACATAAAAGTGGACACAGTGGCATGTGCCTACATCCCAGCTATTTACAAGGCTGAGGCAGGAGGATCAGTTGAGCCCAGGAGTTTTGAGGCTAGACTGGGGAACATACTATTGAGACCCCAGCTTAAAAAAAAAAAAAAGGGTCCAGGATTTAGCTTAGTGGTTCTGCTTTCTGCCTCAAAGGCGCAAGGACCCGAGTTTGATCCCCGTACCAAAAAACCAAAAAAACCCAAAAACCAAAACAAAACCAAAAAAAAGAGTTCACATGTCAAAAACTGGCCGTTGCTAGACAGCAGCTTCCTCCTTTAGAGGGTTGGCCTCTTTCCATGGTGTCCCAGTCTGTGTTGCTCCTGTAGTGACCTCAGCCCTCAGGATGAGAGGGGCTTCATGAAATGAATGCTCTTCACTTTTTGTATGTGTGTGTGTGGTACTGGGGATTGAACCCAAGGGACTTCATGCTAAGCTACATCACCAGCCCCTTTTTAATCTTTTTTATCTTGCTAAATTGCTCAGTTGCCCAGATTGGGCTCAAACTTTGGATCCTTCTGCCTCAGCCTCCCAGAGCTGGGGCTGCAGCTGTGCACCATCCTGCCTGGTGACCTTCACTACTGATGCCCCCACACCCATTTAAGTATAGGCAGTGATCCTGCACCTCCTGGGCTGTGTCCCCAAGTTCAGAGTAAGCCATAAGAGTGGTGTTTTCTCTAATAGTTACTCTACTGAGTAATCATTGTGGCCAAGGCTGCTCCAGGTATCTGTGTATAACATCTCCTTGGACCTCAGTGACCACTCATGACACCAATGGTACTATCATCCCAAGGATAGAGAGGATAAGCCAGTTGCAAAAAGCTTACTGGTGACTGCGCTAGACTAACACCCAGCCTCACTGACCGGACTCACAAGGCTCCAAACAAAGCAAGACTCTGCCGCTCAGATGGGCTCAGGGGTGTCCGGGACTAAAGGTCCCTGTTCTCCCTCCAGCACTCTCTGGAGTTGGAGAGGGGTGGGGAAGGGCACAGCACCCCTGATTGGCCAAGCCCTCCTCCAGGAACCCTCGGGGTATCCAGGGCTGTGCTCTGAATGGGCTTTTCTCCAGAGAAGATGTACAGATATCCAGCAGCACGTGAAAAGGTGCTCAACCTCCTGAATCATTAGGGAAATGCAAATCACAACCCCAGTGACATACACCTCAGACCTGTGAGCATGGTTATACCACGTTTCCCCCAAAAAAGGACCCAGCTGGAAAATAACCAGCCTTGCAGAGTAGAGATAAAAAATGCAAGCCCCAGTCAGCCTGTCCTTGCTTTACCTGCCTTGCAGAGTAGCCACTGAGCAAGAGAACAGTGATGGAGCTAAGGTAAGGATAAACTGATTGGGGCTGGCTTCTTTTTTTTTTTTTTTTTTGTACCAGATATTGAACTTGGGACCTTGTGCTTGCGAGACAGATGCCGGAACCACTGAGCTAAATCCCCAACCCCTGGCTTCTTTTTTTGAGACAAGTTCTCACTATGTAGCCCAGGCTGGCCTCGAACTTGTACTTTTGCCTCAGCCTCCCAAGTGATGGGACTATAGGTGTGCACCAACACACCTATCCTGGAGCTGGAATTTTTGATCTCTACTTTCCAAGGTTGGTTATTTTCCAGCTGGGTCTTATTTTTGGGAAAGAGGTTGTAAAATAAGATTTGGAGGGCTGGGGATTTAGCTCAGTGGTTCCACCACCTGCCTCGAAAGCACAAGGTCCTGTGTTCGAGCCCTGGTACCAAAAAAAAAAACCTTTGGTGAGGAAGTGGCTCAGTTGGAGCCCAAACACGTGGCTGGCAGGAATGTGAAGTGCAGTCACCATGGGAAGCAGTTACCAGTTCCTCAGAAATTACCATATGACCCAGCAGTCCCGCTTCTACATCCTAAGAAACGAGAGCAAGCGTCCACAGAGACTTGTTCAGGACAGTCCTGGGCCCAGCCAGGAGGTGGGGACAACCCACACGTCCACCACAGCAGAAGTGTGCAGGCAAATTATGGTGGACACTGTATTTTTCCTAACCTGTTAATTTTTATTTTAATCTTGGCTACTGGGAATTGAGCCCAGGGCCTTTTCACTGAGCTATATCCCCGGCCCTTTTTAATTTTTTATTTTGAGACAGGGTCTCACTAAGTTGTTAAGTTTTCGAGGCTGGGCTCAAATTTGCAACCTCTTCATGTAAAGTTCTGTTGATAAAATTGGCAGAAGTGGGTTACAGATTTGCTGAACTTCCTAGATGTCCAGGTATATATTGATTACATAATTCATGAGAGGCTTGATGGGGGGAGTTCTCATGTTGATCCTCACCAAGATAATATTTTGTGCCTAGTGCAGTGGCACAGGTCTGTAATTCTAGCTACTGAGGAGGCTGAGGCAGGAGGACTGCAAGTTTCCAGGGTAACTTAGCAAGCACCTGTCTCAAAATAAAAATAAAAATAGCTAGGGATAGAGCCCAGCAGAACCTAGAGCCCCTAGGTTCAACCCCCAGTACCACAGGGGAAGAGGAGATATTTTGTGGTGCAGAGGGCGATGTCTTCAGCCCCATGGACTAGTCCTAGATCCAGTCCAACACAGAGGCAGATGAGGACAAAGCCCTCATGATGCGTGACAGACGCAGCTGCTGTGAAGTCGGCCTCTATTATGTCACACCCCAGCCTTGCCTGCAACTGGGACTCAGAACATCATTTGAAGCAGTAATGAACTCCAAGGACAAAGTAGCTACAACATGAATCTTTTGGCCCCGAATGCTTGCTAGGTCCACACACATCACCTCATAGCTTCTGCAGGGCTCTTTCACAAAGAATGAGCCATGCTGGCCCTAGAAGTATCCACTTAGTAGGAAGATTGTTTTTGTTACACACTGTAAGGAGGTAGTACTTGGAGGCTTTTGCTTTTGTTTTTTGAGACAGGGTCTCCCTACGTAGCCCAGGCTGGCCTCAAACTTGCAACGGTCCTCTAGCCTCAGTCTCCCAAGTGCTGTGATTACAGACACGTGCCTCCATGCCCAGCCTAGTTAGAGGTTTTGCTGTTTTGGGTTTTTTACCGTTGAGATCTGACCACTGGGCTTGGAGCAAGCCGACCTTTCAGAGGGCAGTCACGTGGTGCTGGCCTCTCACTGTGCTGGCTCTGGGTCATTTGCTGGGTCTCCTTCCTTTTGCTTGAAGGTCTAGGACCCCAAAGGCTTGGATTTTACTCCTTTCCATTTTCACTAGCACCGTTTGTGCCAAGCATTCACCCGAGTTTCTTCTGTCTCAGCAGCACTGCCGTATGTTACGCTCCATGCCTTGCCCAAAGACACTTGCTTGGGTGATCTGTCCCTGCAGGGCTCAGCCTCACTCTTTCTTGTATCCTACCATCTCATTTGATGATCTCATTTAGAATTCCAGTTGAGTGAAGCATCAAATTTCTTTTTAATTTTTAAAAAAATTCCGAGACAGGGTGTCACTGAGCCACTAAACTGCCTAGGCTAAACTCAAACTGGCAATCCCTTGACTCAGCCTCCCAGGATACTGGGATTACAGGCGTCTACCACCCCCTCAGATTTCTTTCTTTGTTTTTTTTTTTTTTTTGGTACTGGGGATCAAACTCAGGACCTTGTACTTTCAAGGCAGGCACCAGAACCACTGAACTAAATCTCCAGCCCCAGATTTCTTGACTGCTGGTTGTAGCATTATCTTTCCCTGATTTTTTTCTTTTTGGTGCTAGGGAATCAGATTCAGGGCCTCATGCATGCTAAGCAAATGCTCCACCACTGAGCTATAGCTCTTCTTTCCTTGATTTTGAAAACTGAGGTTTTATCTGTCCATCTGCATTCATTTGACCCTCTGGTTGGTAGCGCCCATGGGAAGTTTTCCCACTTCACCACCCAAGGCAGGTCCAGAGGTGTGAATTAGTTCAAAGCAGCACAGTGCCGCCTTAAAATTTCATGCCTCATGTTAGTCTTCAGTTTCTACTTGCCAATGTTTATTATAAAACAAACTTCATCATGCGAATTAAAACAACCATAAAAGGCTGGGGATTTAGCTCAGTAGTTTCCCAGCCTGCTGCGCAAGCACAAGGACCCAAGTTCAATCCCCGGTACCCCCCCCAAATTTTTAATCTCGGAGGTTATCAAATTTACCTTGATTTTATTAGTATATACTGTGAAAAAGCAGACATGAAAATATTGCTAATAAGAATATATATTTGCTGGGCTGGGGATTTAGCTCAGTGGTTCTGCTGCCTGCCTCGAAAGGGGAAGGTCCCGAGTTCAATCCCTGGTACCAAAAAAAAATATATATATATATATACGTATATATATTTGCACTGCCTCTGGAGGAAAATTTGACTACAGTGGTCAAAATTCCAAATCAATCTTTCTTTCTTTCTTTTCTCCTTTCCTCCTTTCTTTCCTGAGCTGCACTGAGGATTGAACTCACAGCTTTGCACTGATCTACATCTCCAGCCTTTTTTAATTTATTCATTTATTTTTAAAAAGTCACCAAGTTGCCTGGGCTGGGCTCAAACTTTCAGCCTTCCCGCCTCAGGCTCCCAGGTGCTAGGATCACAGGTGTGCAGCACAGGCGTCTGGTTGGACATGCACATGAGGGTGTTATGCACAATCATCTTCACTGAAGTGCTTTATAGCAAAAGACTAAAAACAACCTGAATATCCACCGTAGCAAGTTGATGAAATAAGTTATGGCCTCTCCATAATTTATTTCACACTTACCAGCTGTGACAATAAATGAAGCAGATGTATGCATGAAATCCTCCAAAATAGATTATGTGGCTAAAACAAGGGTAAGAGAAAGAATCTCTAGGTGTGGCCATTTCTGGGTTTCCTAAAAGATGCTTCCTGTGTGCAGGCTATTGCTAAACAGACACATGAGGAGCAGGTGATGGTGCTGAGCTCAGGAGAGGGGAGGATCTGAGGGAGAGGTGGGGGGACTTGCTTTTCACCTTCCATTTTATTTCTTTACTTTTTTTTGGTACTGGGGATCGAACTTGGGACCTTGTGCTTGCGAGGCAGGCACCGGAACCACTGAGCTAAATCCCTGGCCCTCTTTACTAATTTTTTGAGGTGCTGGGAATCAAACCTTATACATGCTAAGTACATGCCCTACCACTGAGCTATTCCTCCAGCTCCTCAAATTTACCTTTTTTTTCATATTTACCTTTTTTTTTTTTTGGTACCGGGGATGGAACTCGGGTCCTTCCGCTTGCAAGGCAGGCGGCAGAACCACTGAGCTAAATCTCCAGCCCCCATATTTACCTTTTTATGTCATTTGAATTTTTTAATCATATAGTTTTTTTTCAAATATAAAAAAAGCTGAAAAATATGAAATGTAGGCACGGTGGTACAACCATGTTTTGGGGTGTTTCTTTTTTGAGACAGGGTCTCACTAAGTTCAGGCTGCCGTTGAATTCATGGGAATCCTCCTGCCTCAGCCTCCCAAGTGCTTAGATTACAGGCATCTGCCACCACACCTGGCCCCTTGTGTGTTTTTTGTGGAATTTGCAGTGTCCTGCCTGTGCACACTGGAAAGAACCTGATGCAACTTGAATCACTGAGCCAGCAGGGGCCGGAGAGATTGAGCTGGTAGTGTGTGGCCCTCTGGGGAAGGCCCTACGCTCCTCTCAGCCTTGGGGTGCTGAGATGCAAGATGGACAGTGTCCTGCCCTCTCAAAGCTCGCCCCGGCAGGGGAACCAGTGGCCAAGAGCACAGAGAGAAGCTGCTAGCCAGGCTCCACACTCTCCTGGCCTGCCCTTCAGAGGCTGGCCAGCTGCTGCGCCTCCAGGGTTCAAGCTGTGCAGGAGAAGGAAAGCAGGAGAGGCCAGCCTGGCTCCAGGCCGGGCACTCTGTTACTACTAACGGCTGGTGCTGAGTGGGGCCTGCCCAGGGCTCCTCCTGGGCAGCGGAAACAGGAAAAGCCATTCGCCCCGCAATCAGGGAGCCTTGACTTGAAGTCAGACTGACACGCGCCCCATCGCAAACTCCATTACTCAGTCCCTTGAAGTGGGCATAAGAAGTCTGTTCCCAGAACCGGCCCGGGCAGAGAGCAGGTCCAGGAGCCCCCGCACGGGGGCGGCCCTCCGAGAACAGCAGCTCCTGTCATTCTGCTGTGCTCTTTATTCTCCTGTCACAAAACCGACCCTCCCTCCAGGGTCCTTCCGAAGCAGTAAAAATGGTGAAAATAAGGTCTTCTGCCACTTACTGAGCATCTGGTGTCCAGACCTTTCTGCCCTCCGCATGTATTAATTCACTGAATCTTTACAGCACCTCTTGACACAGAAGCGATTGTTTTACAGAGAAGCAAGCAGGGAATCAGAAACGTTAAATAACTTGTCTGGAGAACTCAGCAGCACGGACTAAACCCGGGCAGCTGGCCTTGCCCCGAAGATGCAGATGACCGGAGTGCACGTGGGACAGCCTTGGGCCCCTAGGCCGGAATTGGGATCCCACGGAGACGCGGGCGCGGGCCTAGAGCGACCTGGGAGGGCGGTGCGCGCTTCCGGCCGCGCGGACTCCGATCGAGCCGGGTCCTCGCTCACCCGAGTCCGGACCGGGACGACGCGGAGCCGGGAGTCCAGGGCGGCGGCTCGGACCAGGGGGAGCTCAGGCCCCTCGTCCACACGGGCTGCGGACGGACGCGCTCGTCCGAGGTCGCACAGGTCAAAGTGCAGCTCACAGCGCGCCGCGGACCCGCCGGCCAGGCGGCTTCTCGGAACTGGAACTCGGCGGACGGAAGCTGAGCGGCCGGCCCCTCTGCTTCCCGCGGGAGACAGAGCACCTTCTCAGGCAACTGGAGTCCCAGCTGTCTTCTATTCTTTTCTTTAAAAAAACAAAAACAAAGAAAAGTCCCTGGGGATTGAACCCCAGGCTTTTGCACTGAGCTACATCCCTAACCCCTTTTTATTTTTAAATTTTGAGACAGAGTCTCTTTAAATCGTTAATTTACCCAGACTGTGTTCTAACTTGAGATCCTCCGGCCTCAGCCTCCCAGAGTGCTGGGATTATAGACACTGTCTTTTGTACCTGCCACTTTCAGCCCTTCCCGGTCCCCGCCTTATCATACCTTCAGTCTTCATTATTTCCCCCCAACCAGTCTTTCCAGTTCTACTGTCACCGGCTTTCAACTTCATTGCCAGAAACCTATGCTATTGTTGCAAACTGCAATCCTGGATGCTTTTCCTTTTCATACGGCACTTCAGTACAGGAGCAGCTCCCAAGCCCCTACATCAACACTCCTATGCTCAGGGGAAAAAAAAGAAAAATTTATTTATTTATTCACTGATTGAGCCAGACTCACTATACTGTAGTTCGCAGCGATCCTGACCTTGAACTCACAGCGATCCTTCTGCCTCAGTTTCCTGAATGCTGGGATTATTGGTGGGCACCACCTTGCCCAGCAAAAAAAAAATCTTTCTAGATTCCAATCAAAACTCCGCATGGGGTGGGGGATTTAGCTCAGTGGTTCTGCCGCATGCTTCAAAATTGCAACGTCCAGAGTTCGATGTCTGGTACCAAAAACAAAACAAAACGAAACAAAACAAAACAAAAAACTCCTCCACTTGGCATTCAGGGTTATCTGGAATCTGGCTCCGGGCCACCTTTCTAACCTGACCTTTCTTGGTTCCATAAGTAAACGCTATAGGTGCGGCCATGCACCGAGGAGGGAGGCGAAGCCTGAGTTCGGTGTCATTTTGCAAGTGGGTCAGCAGGTGTCCAGCTCTCGCCTTTTTCCTGTCTCAGAGGACATGATTCAAAGAAACTCAATGTGGCTCACACCAGTGCGCACTGCTCAAGTGTCACCCTAGACTTTCATCCTCCTCTGGGCGGGCTCCAGAGGCCTGGCACAGTGGAAGGCATTCCCAGGCCTCTCGGGAGACTGGGCGCTGCCGCCTCCCTCCCCCCTCCCCCCCTCCCTCTTCCTCTGTCTTCTGTTTTGAGACGCGGTCTTCCTCAGGCTCAGCCTCCCAAGCGCTGGGCTAACAGGTGTGCACCCCAACACGCAGGACTCTTCCTTTCACACAGTTGCCTGGCACATAGTAGGCATTCATTCATTCATTCATTCAAACTCACCCAGTACTCACTCTGCGTTCTTCCAGGCAACTGTAGATATGGTTGTGAACAAAACAGAAAGAAGTTAATGAATTTCTGCCTTTACAGAGGTTAAATTCTACTAAGGAAGACACACAATAAAGCAAATAATGAGAAAAAATAAAGCAGAGGAAGGAAACCAGGCACAATGACCCATGCCTGTAAATTGCAGCACTTAGGGAGGCTGAGGCAGGAGGATCTCAAGTTCTGGTCCTGCCTGGGTAATTTAGCAAGACCCTGTCTCAAAAATAAAATTAAATTTAAAAAGGACAGGGAATGTAGCTCCGCAGCAGAGTGCCCCGGTTCAACCCCAAGTGCCCCCAGGAGAATGGGGAAGGAGATGGAAAGTATGGGATCAGAGGTGATGCTGAGCTGTTGGATAGGCTGGCCAGGGAGATGCCTCTGAGAAGTCTAACTTTCAGTAAAGATGTGAAGCAGATGTTTAATGTCTGGAGCAAACTGTTAAAATAATGCTCCCTCCAGGAACTCCTCAGAAAGAGAACAACTGTGAAGAAAGCTACTCAAACACTATGTGCCATCTTTTTTTCTTATTTTTTTTCTCTTTTTAGTACTGGGGATCAAACTCGGGACCTTGCACTTGCACAGCAGGCAGTGAAACCACTGAGCTAAATCCCCGGCTCTTCTTATTTTTTGAGCAAAGGGTCTTGGTATGTAGTCCAGCCTGTCTTTGAACTCATGGCAATCCTCCTGCCTCAGCCTCCTGAGTGCTGGGATTACAGGCATGAGCCACCATCCCTGGCAGGATGTCTTTTTTTTTGGTACCGGGGATCGAACTCGGGACCTTGCACTTGCAAGGCAGGTGCTGAAACCACTGAGCTAAATCCCCGGCCCATGGATATCTCTTTTGATATAACAGTTTATTGAGATATAATTCATACCATATACTCCCCCTACTTAAGGTATATGTTTGTTTGTTTGTTTTTGGTTTTTGGTACTGGGGATCAAACTCCGGATCTTGCACTGCTTGAGAGGCAGGCGGTGGCAACACTGAGCTAAATCCCTGCCCTACTTAAGGTATATGATTCAGTGAATTTTTTAGTATATTCATAGTTGTACAACCATCACCACAATGAATTTTAGGAAATTTCATCAGCCCAAATGAAGGTTTTGTCTATTAGCTATCACTTCTTTCCCCTCCAGCCCCGCCTGGCCCCAGGGCACCCCTCATCAGTTGTTTCTGGCCTCTGTCTCCAGTGCTCTCTGGGCGGGGCCTGGTGTGAGCGTGTGCAGCTGGAGCTCCAGATTTGCCCTCCCCGTTCCACTTTGGGAGGTGGGCGAGTGACGGCTGAGAAGCCTGTGAGGGTGGGCTGGGACTTCAGAAGGCGAGGAACTTCTGGAAGGGATGTGGGTGACAGAAAGGGAAAGCAGAAAAGGGAGATAACTTGATTCTGTTTGTCTATTGCTCTTTTTGCTTTGCCAGTCACCCTAAAGGTCAGCAGGCTAGAAACCCTAAGTGAAGTGGGAAGTCCTGCAAACTTAGTTGTTATTTATTTATTTGGTTTTGGTACCGGGGATTGAACTTGGAACCTTGCACTTTTGAGGCAGGTGGCGGAACCACTGCTCTACATCCCTGGCCCCTTAGTTGTTATTTATATGGTTAATTTTCTTTCTCCGTTTTTACATATTTATGCTTCCTATTTGCTAACATTATATAAAGGAACTGATCATGAAACCAAAAAAGTTGGGCTCTTCCTTCTATCATGGCTTAGCTGTTCTCAAATTGTCCTCTTCTGCGGGGTGTGGGGGCTGCACGGCTGTAATCACAGCACTTTGGGAGGCTGACAGGAAAATCGCAGGTTCGAGTCCACTCAGGCAACGTGGCACTTTCGTGAACCCCTGTCTCAAAATAAATAATAAGAAAGGCCTGGGATCCCGCTGAGTGCAGCGGCCCCGGGCCCCATCTCCAGGGCTGCGGAGAGAGACATTGAGGGCAGGCGGGGTAGTAGGTGCCCGCTGTCCTGCCCAGTGGCGCTTCCTGAGCTGCCCGAGGCCTCAGGCTGCCGGTGCCGATTTCTTGTTTAGGTGCCGTCCTAACTTTTCCCTCCATCCCAGAGCTTCTGAGTGCAGAAAGGGCGGGTGGCTCAGTGGCGAGCGGACACTGCTAACCATGGAACAGCCGGCCAAACATTATGAAACTTTCCTACCGAGAGGGAGCTAGGAAGGGGCCTTGGAGGACCCTGGTCCAGTCCCTTCACAGGAGGGAGGACCGCAGAGCCCGGTGAACAGCCCGAGCCCATCCAGCCTGAGAGCCCAGCCAGAGTCCAGCCCCGCCCCCCGTTGTTTTGTTTTGTTTTGTTTTGTTCAGTACTGGGGATTGAAACCAGGCCCTTCGCACAGAGCTACATCCTAGCCCCTTTAAAAAAAAAAAAAAATATATATATATATATATATATATATATATATATATATAAATATATATTTCCTTTTTGAGACAGGGTTGAGTAAAGTCACTAAATTGCTCAGGCTGGCTTGAATGTGCGATCCTCTTGTCTCAGCCTCCAGGAGTGCTGGGATTACAGGTGTCCGCCACCATGGCGGGCTCTGATCCCTGCCTTACAGCCGGTTATACGAGGGGCCGGGCTCTTCAGTTTGCGGGACCTGGATCCGACTCTCCGAACCGCCCGGGACCGCCCCGAGCGCCGGCCTGGGCGGGGGCGTGGCCTCACGAAAGCGAGCCAATCCCGGGCCACAACGCTGGGGGCGGGGCGCTGCCGCTCCACCCCCTTCCCCGCTCGGGGTGACCGGGGTGACCCGGGTGACCGTCGCCGCTCTCCGAGGTCCGCGGGGGTTGTACCGGTTAGTGGGACGGGGCTTGGCCCACAGTGGTTTCCATTCAGAGCGGCTGCCGCGTGGAGCCTGGCGCGGGGTTCGGGCTCTCAGCCCCGTCGCCGGGAGGGCGGCATCTCCTGAGCGCTTGCCTCAGAGGGCCAAGCAGTATCCTGAGGTCTGGGGCTCAAAGAACAGAACAGATTGCATTGTCTTCTTGGAGCTTCCAGAAGTGATTACAAGGCTTTGGGGTGGGAAAGTAAAGCAGTTACACTGTTAAGGAAGCCAAGCCCGAGGCCTTGTAATCCCGCTGCTCTGGGTGCTGAGATGGGAGGGTCACAAATTCAAGCCTAGTCTAACAACTAACAAGTTAGTGAAACCCTGTCTAAAGGGGAGAAAAGGGCTTGGGATGTAGCTCAGTTCGAAGGCACCGGGTTCAATCCCCAGTACGTCAGTTGAGGGGGGCAAGTCAGACAGACACTAGGGGGAAAGTGAGATCTGAACAAAGGATTGAAGGAGGCTCGGAGAGGAGCATTCCAGGCAGAGGAAACAGCTGACATTAACAGCGGGATGAGTGTTGTGGTTACCGCACGGACATGGGAGAAAGGGTGCAGATCTTGCAAGGTCTGGTATGCATTTTACTCAGAAATGGGGAGCCAGGAAAGAAAATGACAGAGCTGCTGGGCGTGGTGGCGCACCCCTGTTATCCCAACACTTGGGAGGCTGAGGCAGGAGGATCGCTGAGAGTTTGAGGCCAGTCTGGGCTACATAGTGAGTTCAAGGTCAATCTGAACTACACAGAGAGACCCTGTCTCAAAATATGAAGAAAAAAAAAGAAAATGACAGAACAGTGATTGGTAGCAAAATTCAACCACTGTGAGATCCAGAATCCAGACATAACAACTTGTTGAAGAAAAAAAGAGAACATCACCAAGAATTGGGAAGGAACTGACAGAAAAACTTAGAAGCCACACAGAACTTGGAAAGATGGCCCAGAACACAGAAAAAGGAAACAACTTATGCTCTCCCTGGCTCTTGTAGCCTGAAGGCGGTGGTGGTGGGGGACTGGACTGCACAGAGCCAAGGTGAGTGAGCAGGGCTGGGGAATCCCAGGAGAAATGTCAGCAGAGTCCTTGTGAACTGCAAAAATTTAGGCTAATCTAAGATTAATTGGAATAAGAGAAAATCAGAAGACAGCACCAAGGGCGTACAAATCCTGGTTACAGAAATAATAGCAGAAAACTTTCCAAATATTTAGAAAGAATTGAACACTCAGATAAGTGAGGCATACAGAACCCCAAATAACCAAAGTCAAAAGAGAACCTTTCCACATCACATCATAGTCAAAATCCCGCAAGTCCAGCACAGGGACAGAATCTTAAAAGATGTTAGAGAAAAGCAGTGAATCAGGTGTAAAGGTAAGCCCGTCAGAATTACAGTAAACTTCTCAACACAAATCTCCAAGACCAAGAAAGCTCAGAGTAAAGTTTTTAAGCCCTAAAAGATAACAACTTCCAACCAGACTGCAAAACTTTCTCTTTTTTTGGTACCGGGGGTTGAACTTGGGACCTTGCGCTTGCAAGGCAGGTGGTGGAACCACTGAGCTAAATCCCCGGCTCCTTTCTTTCAAAACTGATGGAGAAATACAGTATTTCCATGACAAAGAGCACCTCAATAAGTTCATGAGCACCAAAGCAGCATTACAAAAATTCTCAAGGACATCCTAGAAAAAGACAACGAAGCCAGCAATGGCAAAAAGAGTCAACACACAAAAATCAATAGTGTTCCTGAACACCAATAATAAACTCATTGAGAAAGAAATTAGTGAAACAATACCTTTCACAATAGCACCAAAAAGTAAATACCTAGGAATTAACCTAATCAAGCAAGTGAAAAATCTCTACAGTGAAAACTCCAGGGCCGGGGATTTAGCTCAGTGGTTCCGGCACCTGCCTTGCAAGCACAAGGTCCCAAGTTCGATCCCTGGTACCAAAAAAACCCAACAAAAACAATGAAAACTACAGTACTTTGAAAAAAAAGATACCAGAAAATGGAAAAATATCTCCTGTTCCTGGATAGGCAGAACCAATATAGTAAAAATGGCCAACTTCCACAACTGTTATACAGATTTAACACAATCCCAATCAAAATACCAATAGCATTCCTCACAGAACTAGAGAAACAGTCCTAAAACCCATATGGAACCAGAAGAGACCTAGAATAGCAAAAGCAATTCTGAGCAAGAAGAGCAAGGCAGGGGGCATCTCAATCCCCAACTTGAAAGTATACTACAAAGCTACCATGATAAAAACGGCATGGTTCAGGGGGGAAGACCTGAGGATCAGTTTAACAGACTAGAGGATGCAGAAATGACTCCAGGCACACTCAGCCACCTTATCTTTGACAAAAGGGGCCAAATATTTTCACTGGAGGAAAGGCAGCCCCTTTAATAAATGGTGCTGAGAAAACTGGCTTTCCACATGCCGAAGACTGAGTCTCAGCCCACATCTCTCACCATGCACTAAACTAAAGTTGAAATGGATCAAAGATCTAAAATATTAAAACAGCAACAATCTGTTGGAAGAGAGAATAGGTAAAACTTTTGAAGACACAGGTGTATGTAAAGACAAGGACTTTCTGAACAGAACCCCAGTTGCATAAGGGATAAAACCAAGAATCAACAAATGGGATTGGATCAAATTAAAAAGCTTCTGGACAGTAAAGGAAATAACCAACGGAGTGAAGAGACAGCCCACAGAATGGGAAAAAATGTTTGCCAGATATTCCTCAGAGGACTA